AAATAAAAAATAAATAAATAAACAAATTACCAAAAATATTGGTTATTCAAAGTTGGCAGGGCTGTGAAGGAGAGGGAAAATGTGAGGCAAAAGTACAGGAGAAAACCGGAGGTCGGGAAACCTGTGATATTTGATAGGGTCACACTGGATTACACCCTTCTCACATGTGTCTGGGCCCGAACCCTTGACATATTGGTGAGAGATATGCACATTATTGCTGTAGTGTACTTTAAACTAAAGTGAATGTATGCGATACTTCAAAACATATTTTTATATTTGGTAAAATTATCGTTTCGGTTTTCCACCTAATTGGAAGTTGAAATTAATCTTTCAAAACACATCAAAAACCATCAGAAAAACGTAATTTCAACCACACCCAACCTAATCTAAACCTAACCTGCTGGATGACCAAAACAATAATACCTTATTTTCTTTTTAACTGGACATTTTGGAGGATTTTCTTTATAGGAATACAGTACAGTGGTCCCTCGGTTAACGATCGCCTCGGTTAACGAGATTTCGGTTAACGATTTACCTTCCATAAGATTCCTAACTTCGGTTAACGAGTAATCCCTCGATTAACGAGTTTTTTACGAGCCGACTTCAACATGTTTTCGCTTACATTTGGCGGTCCACCAGCTGTAGTATTAGTCCGCCAATACAGTAATCGGTTTTAGGGCTTAAATGCCTTACTATTTTAGTAAATATCAAGAAGTTTATACTATTCAATAATTTTAAAAGTTTAATATTAACTTTTTTAGTCATTTTTACAATTATTGAACATAATTGAAGGTAAAGAAACTAGTTTCTGGCGTGCCATCCAGCCTGTTAACACACCAGACAGGCGTTAGCCTCTCTCTGTTTTCAGTGGAGGTAACATCTTACTTGAGACTCTCTTCAACTAAATGCTTTTTTTTCTGTTTCCAAGCAAATTATTGGTCATTTTGAAATATATTTTACATATTGACAATATATAATGCAGTGCAGTGTTGATTTAAAGAAAATAATCTTGAAATACACCAAGAGAACTAAAATTTTATGGGTGAAATGGTGCCATGGGGTGACTTCTCTTCCACCCCAATGCCTTCTCTTCTTCCTTCTCCACCCCCATTTTAATTCCCATCATCATCATCATCATCATCATCATCCAGGCCTTCTAGTTAAATTTTCGGTTAACGAGCGCCTGCTGGAAGCAGATTATTAGCAATTTAACCGGACCTATATATATAAGCTTTTACAATGGGAATCTTTGTGAAAATGTGATCTGATATACTGTACCAAAAAAAAAAATCAAGAATAGAATCCTTTCATAACTCAGGAGTGCATATATTTACAGTACATCACTTATAAATTAACATTTATAAATGTGCAAAAAACATCAAACTTAAAGCATAATATTGTAATTAGGTCTTCCTTGCTTTCAGAGGCAGAGGCCCATAACTCAGCTTGAATTTCTTTGTCTTCTTCCTCTTTCTGCCTATATTACCCTGTAAGGAAAGGCACAGAATTTAGAGAGATGCACATATGCTCCTGTTTGCTAAATGAGTTGATGCACAATTTATCAAAACATTTACAGCCATTAAATTTCTTGTTCTGAGCAAAAAGTGAATGGGAGGGCACTCTTCATCATTGAAAATGTATATACAGTTGTCCCTTGGTTAACGAGCACAATCCGTTCTAGAAGGTTGCTCGTTAACCGAAACCGTTGTTTCAAAGGGTTTTTGGGTAATTGGTTCCAGGTCACCGAAAATTGCCTAAATTCAACAAAAAATGTAGAAAAGTACACTTACTTTGAGGTGTGTATGTAGAAGGCTCCTGGATGATGATGATGATGATGATGATGGGAATTAGAATGGGGGTGGAGGAGAAGGGAGAAGAGAAGGCATTGGGGTGGAAGAGAAGTCACCCCATGTTGCCATTTCACCCATAAAATTTTGGTGTAATTCAAGATTATTTTCTTTAAATCAACACTGCACTGCATTATATATTGTGAATATGTAAAATAAATTTCAAAATGACCAATAATTTGCTTGCAAACACAGAAAAAAATATTTAGTTGAAGAGTCTCAAGCAAGATGTTACCTCCACTGAAAAGACACAAAGACTGACGCCTGTATGGTGTGTTGAGAGGCTGGATGGCGCGCATAAAACTAGTCACTTTACCTTCAATTGTGTTCAATAATTGTTAAAATGACTAAAAAATTTAATATTAAAATTTTAAAATTATTGAATTGTATAAACTTCTTGATATTTACTAAAATAGTAAGGAATTTAAGCCCTAGAACCGATTACTGTATTTGCGGACTAATACTACAGCTGGTTGACCGCCAAGTGCAAGAGAAAAAACTTGTTGTGGTCGGCTCGTAAGAAACTCGTTAACCGAAGTTAAGAATCTTATGGGAGGTAACTCGTTAACCGAAATCTCGTTAACCGAGGGATCACTGTATTTTTATTAGGTTAAAAGTGTTCTTGAAATCTAGTTTGCCTAACACTTCATTCATCGGGATCATCAGCCTGTACCATTATACTGATGGATTAAGGCCTCTTGTGTGGTTCCAGTTATTTCTGCTCCGCCCACTGAGCACTTCCAAACTTCATGTCGCGATCACAGCAGCTCTTCAACCCTATACATTATTGAGAACATTTCCTATTGAATTTATGGTAAAATAAGGAAAGAGAAGTTTGGCTGAGCTTTAAGATTTTTTCATGTCATTATAAGATTGACAGCATAAACCAATTTTTTTTAAATATTTATTCAAGTACTGGTACCTGTAGTCTAAGTTTAGATTGTACTCTAGTATCTAATCTTGAGACAAGATAATTTAGACGCTAATCTGAAGTTCCTTCAAGGGCAATATATTGTGATAATTCTTTTAACAAGAAAAGTTACTACTGTATGTGAGCATAAATTTGGACAGACTTAAAGAAAACCAATTATCTGGAAATATAAATGTTCAGAAATTGGGGGTGCTGGAAAGGTACAATCGCTAATGGTATTTGGAAACATTACAGCGGTACATGTATTTAAAGTGCTGTTACCCGATACTAGAGAAAATCATACCTGGTACTTTTCTTATTTAAAAGTAAAAAAATTTAACCTATGATATTAGCTAAAAGGGTTATGACACAAGACCTGGAATAATTTAAAAAAAAAAAGCTAAACATCCCTCCCAGGCAGTAGCTAGCAGGCTTGTGGCTAACACAAATTGTTTTATACTCATAAATTGTGAAATGTATGGGTAGTGATTAGAGGACTAGTATGCATGACAGAAACACGTTTGAGATGGTGTAAAGAGTTAAGTGGTGGTGGTAGCTTGAGATGCAGGGCTAGACTAAGACAGATTTGGGGCTCCATTGACCACTGGCCCCCTTCCCTGCTCGTTAACATCCTGTGGTAAATTCCATTGGTGGGCTAAGTGAAAGAACACTATACTGTACACTCTTGTAATATTTTATTAGGCTTCTTATAAATCACATTAATTGAACTGAATATCACATTTAAAATTTAAATAACTGTCTGACCATACTGCCATGGCTCCCCCTTCTTTGCCATTTATAGTTGCTACCAGAACTGTATTACAAAAAAAATCCATGGATGCAGTCATAGAAGCTAATTTACCTCCATTCTAAATGTTCTCAGGCTGTTTTTACCAATCACCTAAAGGTTTCGATCTCTCTGCCTTTCCCTGCCTATCCTATCCTGAACTTTGCCCATTAATATTGATGTGATTATCCCTAATTATGTGACCAAAGTAGAGGTAGACCACCTCATATCCGGCAATCAGTAATCCGGTTCCACCGCCGGTTCGGACATAATTTGGCCACCGTATTTTCAAATTTCGCGCCGGTCTCCTCGCCAACCCGCCGCTACTGTTTGGTGGCGCCACTAGCTGACTCGGCTGTTGGCACGGTGTTTGAGGAGCGGCAAGTTATTCCTCTGTGTTATTCTTCATTTATTATTATAAACTGCTCTTATTTAGCCCCAGTCATGTCTTCATTGAATAAAGGAAATGCTTCTCGTGGTGTAAAGTGCAAACACCATACGTTGTCTATACAAGATAAGGTTGAACTTCTCAAAAAACTCAACAGTGGTGTGTCCGTTGCAGCATATGCGACTTGTATACCATTGGCCTTCCACAGTGTATGACATAAAAAAACAGAAAGGAAAGCTGCTCTAGTTCTTTGCTGATAGTGAATCAAAGAAACAGATGTCCATAAGGAAAACATTGAAAGATGGAAGATGTTCACAGCTAGATAAAGTTCTGATAAAGTTGTTTAAACACCACGTTAGTGAAGGTGTGGAACTGTCCGGGGAGATGGTGAGGGAGCAAGCAAAATTATTTCATGCAGAATTAGGAATAGATTATGCGTGTGATTATACTGAACGGTGGCTTCAGCGGTTCAAGCAGCGACATGGGATAAAGTTTCGTGCAGTGTGTGGTGAAAAAAGGTCGGCGGACAAGGAAGCAGTTGTTGCGTTTGTAGACGAGTTCGCTTAGTTAGTTTCGGATGAAAATTTAAGTCCCGAACAGGTCTACAATGCAGACGAAACCGCCATATATTGGTGTTGTGCTCCCGGGCGAACACTGACTACTGACGATACATAATTACCAAGAGGTTATAAAGCATCAAAAGATCGTGTCACTGTGTTGGGCTGCTCTAACACTGCAGGAACCCACAGGTGTAAGTTGTTAGTCATTAGCAAAAGTTTACGCCCCAAAGCCTTCAAAGGTATGAAACAGTTTCCAGTTATTTACTGTGCTAACAAAAAGGGATGGATAACAACTGACATTACATTGAATTGGTTCGAACATTACTTTGTTCCAGCAGCAAGAGCGCTCATTGTGACTGTTGGTTTGAAAAAAACTAAGATAATGCTGATTTTAGAAAACTGCTCTGCACATCCAAAAGCAGAACTCTTGGCGAAGAATAATATTTACGGTATCTACCTGCCACCTAACTGTACATCATTAATTCAACCCCTGGACAATGGCATATTACGGCTACTGAGTGCATGTAACTCTGGCAAACCAGTAAATGAATTTATGAAAGAATGTTATATGAGAGATGTGATTTATGGAGTTGCAAATGCTTGGCAGTCAGTAGAATCATCAACATTGAAAAACGGATGGCATTTGTGGCCAGCTTTATTGTTCAGTTCTGCACCTGGTGAGGAAATTGGAAATGAATTTACGGGATTTAGGGTTTCAAGTCAAAATCAGATTGTACGTGAACTGCTTTCTTATGCTCAAGATCTCGGTAATCCTACTGCGAAGGAAGCTGCATCGAGGCTGGATGCAGATAACATTAACGAGTGGATGGGTGTTGATGATGATGAATCAACTGTTCATCATTATACTGACGTTGAAATTGTTCAGATGGTTGTAAATCCAAAGACAAACAGCAGTGGGGGAGAAAGTAATGATGAAGTTGATTTTGATTTTGCAGCTTACCAGCGGCTACTTTGTGTGCACCCCACACTCATCCTGTGGCCGGTAGCGCAGGAATTAAAGTAGGGTTTACAAAGGGTCATAATAATTAACCCGGTTGTCAGGATATTATGGCACCGAAAGTTACCAGTATTTCATTTACATTATTTGTTCAGTTCTATACATAAAAGGTAACTTATTCCAAATCTGCGTGAGAACAGGCGTGTGAGGCAGTATGTCTGGCCTCACACTTTGTTAATCACATTCGTGGGAGTATTCAAGCACATTAGCGTATTTGGTTCTGTACATGAGAACTGATATAGTTACTGAGTGCAAAAAAGTGGATACAATCTTAATATGTCGGCTATCTTGCCATTAGAGATGAAGTGTTGTGCCATTTCACACACAGTGTGCTTGGACACCTGTCCTAAAGGTTCTATCTTCACACAGTCGGGGCGTGGTGTTCAGGAGTGTGTGGCCATATGTATAGCCACACACTTTACTACTAATTTTGTTTACATCTGCTTGAGAACATACTGCCAGAGTACTTATATCCTAACCTTAATCTAGCGATTTACAACATCTTGTAATCTAGTGATCTTGTTACTTGCTCCATATACATGTTTCCTTGATACATCTCATCATAGTAACTATGGATCGACTAGTGCCTGTTTGCACTTGTCTACTTGCGTCAAACTCATCAATAAGTTCTTTCCTAATTACAGTTTTAGGGTTCTTTTGTGAACCCAAATTGTATTCAACGGTGTCTTTGTTAGAGCGAGTTTGGCGAGAACATCAACTCTGTCATGTTTTATAAGGCCTATGTGAGAGAGGGGATCTACACAGTTTGACCCTGACACCCCGGTCAACAAAACCTATATTTGTGTCTGGCTTCAGAGACAAGATCGTGACAACCTGAGTCAAGGTACCAGGGCAAGTAGTGAGGATAGAGAGTCAGTGATGATGAGACTGTCAGTAACAGTGGTTTCAATGAATTTAATAGCTGTGAGTATGGCAACTAATTCAGTTTGTAAGAGTGGATGCCCAGTTGTTAATTCTAACTCCTTTCTCAATTATATTACCGTCAGGTTGAGTCTAACAATAGCACTTCCAGCCCTCCCACAAGGGTGTTTTAGAGATCCATCAGTGTAGATGGTCTGTGTGATATTATCATCAGTCTGTAGAGTGTGTATGTGTTCAAGGGCTCTCAATTTGGCAGTGTTTGGAGATAAATGCTTTATATAATTAATTTTTAGGCGGATCGTCGTATTGTGATATCGAAGGAACTGTCCGCCGGGGTGGCAGGAAGCAGCTGTTGTGTCTCAACTTTGTACAGGTGGTCTAGTCCAAATATCTTCATATGTGTAGCTGTAGTTTGGATCATTTAGACTCAGTAGTCATGGTTCATACATTCTAGCAATTTTAAGGAAACAATGTTATCAGGATCACCCACTGAGAAGCCTCAGGGCTATCATGAGGTTGACTTCAATTATTCTATCTTTAACACTGGGTATACCTAGTTCTTTCCTCATATTAAGTACTTTAGTGCTCATGGGACATCCTAGGATAATTCTGAGGGCTTTTTTTTGCATTTTCGAGCTTGTCAACGCCTTTCCGTCACGAATGACCCAGGGCTGGTGTTGGTAATCTATCAGAGATCTTATATAGCCTAAAGTTACTTGTTTTAACAATTCTAATATTAGCACCATAGTTGCGGGCTGTACCCCTACCTACACTTCTAGAGGTCTCAGTCTGTCAGTACATTCGGGTTGCTTGTTGTATAGCAGGTAAGAGTACAAGGGACGGAAACACCAAGATATTTAAAGAAGAAACATAGTCAATAGTGTTGTT